CTCTCTCTCTCTCTCTCTCTCTCTCTCTCTCTCACACACACACACACACATTTCTCAGGGGTGTCGGTAACTCTGGGCGATGCGGTGAGTCCTTATCCATCAGTCAAATGAATCCTGGGCAGACTGTTGGGGTTCAACCTCCTGAGTCCTGATGAGTTGGTGAAAGTCCGACGGAACAGTCTGGCACAGTCATGCTTTTTTTGAGTGTATAGCGAATATGACAACACACAACACACATAGACACATGTACACAAAAAATAAAATAAGAAAAGAAAGGAAGCGCAGAAAAAATATTGCGCCTTTACCCCGCCTTCACCCTAACTCTTCCCCCTCCCCCAATGTCTCTCTCTATCTCTCTCTCACACGCAGACAAACGAAACGGAAATAAAAAGGAATGAAGAAACGGCTACGTTACCTGATCGGACGTCCGGGACCCCCCTTACCATTCGGGACTGTCCGATCGGACAACCGGTCGGCCGTCCGCCAGGGCCCCTACGTCCAATCGCCGAAAAAAATTGGGGTGGGTCCAGGACTGGGGTTTGGGTGGCGGAGGGGTAGACTGCTGGGACAGGCGAACCGGGGGCGCCGATGGGAAGATGTGTTGGAGGCCGGTAGGGCCTCCAAAATCGAAAAACAAAACGGCCTGATGTGGGCCGTCAGATCTGTGAGATCGACGGCCCAAATCGGGCTATTTTGAAATTCGAAATTTGGCACCCTGGCGATCTCACCCGTGCGTCTTGGCCCCCACGCTGTCGCCGGAGTTCGGTGTTGCCATTCCGAACTCCGACGTCAACGACCGCAACCCCACGCGCCATCGCCCGCCCATGCCAGGTGAGCCAGCTTCCCTTCGTCCACCACCTCCTCCTCCTCCTTCTCCCCCTCCTCCTCATCCTTCCACTTCTCCTGTCTTCCTCCTTCCTCTTCTCCTCTCCTCGTCCTCCTCCTCCTTCTCTTCCTCCTTTTCGTCGTCCTCCTGGTTGTCGTCGTCCTCCTCCACATCCTCGTCCTCCTCCTCCTCCTCGTCGGGGCCTCCTCTTCTTCCTCCTCCTCCTCCTCCTCCTCCTCCTCGACCTCCTCCACCTCCTCCTCCTCGTCTTCCTCCTCGTCCTCTTCTTCCTCCTCCTCCACCTTCTTCTCCATCCAAGTTCTCTTCCTCCACCACACTGTAACCGTGGTGCCATAATCACTTGTCAATCTGAGCACCACCCGCACGTCAACCAACTAAGGCAGTTGGGTGTCTAACGCAGCATTCTCTTGACGCTAAACTATAGAGGAGGAAGAAGAAGAAGAGGAGGAGGAGGAGGAGGAGGAGGAAGAAGAGGAAGAAGAGGAGGAAGAAGAGGAAGAAGAGGAAGAAGAGGAAGAAGAGGAGGAAGAAGAGGAAGAAGAGGAGGAGGAGGTGGACGAGGAGGAGGATGACGGCGACAATGGAGAGTGAGTGTTCGAATGAAGAAGAAGGTGGGGAGGAGAATGAGGCCCTGCATTTTTTTTATTTTTTTTATTTTTATTTTTTGGTCCGATCAATCAATCAATCAATCAATCAATCAATCGGTCGAAGATCCCATCGAATCGATTGATTTGATAGGATCTGTTTTGAAAATAACATGTTCAAGATCGGGCGGAGAGCAGTTCTGTGGGCTCTTTGGAGGAAGCGTTGCACTTACACCATCGAGGGGGTCCGAATGGAAGGAGAGGAAGTTACGGAAATAATTAAACAGTATATACAACAAGATCTCCTCTCACAATGGCAGAAGGTAAAGAACCAACTACAGAAGCATCATCAAAAGAAAGACATCATACAAGCAATTAAACAATTCTCAGGAGACTGGCTGGGCAGCGAAAATGGGGGCTGGATTGCCTACATCCGATGGGAGGGAGGTCAGTCCCCCTGACAGGAACCGGCGGACTTCAAGAGAGATTACTGCATCCTCTTCAGAGAATGGACGAAAGTGGACCAAGCAGTGCCATTACGCTCACCTGCAGATTTCCCGGTCCCGTTCCCCCCCCATCAGCTTTCCTTGGTGGATACGCAATGGTATGGCGCAGTTTAAAAGAAACTCTTCAAGGACTGTTGTCAAGCAGATGGAAGGGCCGTTGGCGGGTTCAAGGGTTAGATCGGTAAACGGCACCAGGGCAACAAATGGAGCTCAATGGTTGCTCTAGGGACACAAGCAGAATCTGACAGCCCATAAGCTGAGAGGAGCAACGAGGGGCAGAATAGGTTCACAAAAGCCACACAAAAGCTTAGCTGCAACAGGCTAACTTAGGCAGGGGTGAGGGGTGGTACATCCTTCCCGAGGGAAGTAATCAATGCCGCCCGCTCGGGCCTCTCAACCTTAATGGGGAGGAGCGTGGGGGTGAGTTATCTGTGTACTATCTATTGACCTGCCGGGGGAATAGGAACCGGACTGTTGCTCCCCAGAATGGCAGGAGCCAGAATCAAGAGGTTCTGATTTCGGCAAAAAAAAAAAAAAAAAAAAAAAACCGGTTGAGGGAGGACGCTATCACCGAATTGGCGATGATAGGTCGGAGAACGACGAGTTCGGGGACAGCCTGGACAGGGACTGGTGGGACGAGGAGGAAGAAGAAGAGGGCGAGGAGGAGGAGGATGACGACGAAGAAGGAGAGGGTGAGGAGGAGGATGAGGAGGAGGAGGACGAAGAAGATGTGGAGGAGTCCACAGCGATGGAGGAGGAGGACGACGAAGAAGATGTGAAGGAGGAAGAAGAAGAAGTGGAGGAGGAGGAGGAGGAGGAGGAGGAGGACTGGGAAAGGGATGCGGAAGAAGCGGAGGAGTAAGAAGAGGAGGAGGGTCCGACGATGGAGGAGGAGAAGGTGGAGGGGGAGGAGGTGGAGGAGGAGGAGCCCACGACGACGGAGAAGAGGAGCCCACGGAGACGACGAAGGAGTAGGAGGCCCCAACGATGGAGGAGGAGGACACGGAGGAGCAGGAGGAGGAGGTGGAGGAAGAAGAAGAAGAGGGCGAGGAGGAAGATGACGACGAAGAAGAAGAGGGCGAGTAGGAGGAGGACGAGGAGGAGGAGGCCACGACGATGAAGAGGAGGGAGAGAACTTAGAGGAGGAGGAGGAGGAGGAGGAGGAGGAGGAGGACTGGGAAGGGGATGCGGAAGAAGCGGAGGAGGAGGAAGAGGAGGGCCCGACGGCGACAGTCAATGAGTGTCCGCATGAAGAAGAAGGTGGGGAGGAGAATGAGGCCCCACATTTTTTTTATTTTTTTTTTTCGTTCGATCAATCAATCAATCGCTCGCTCGCTCGAAGATCCCATCGAATCGATTGATTCGATAGGATCTTGATTATCAATCAATCAATCAATCAATTAATCAATCAATCAATCAATCAATCGATCGAAGATCCCATAGAATCGATTGATTTGAGAGGATCTTGATAATCAAGATCCTATCAAATCAATCGATTCGATGGAATCTGCGATCAATCGATCGATCGATTGATTGATTGATTGATTGATTGATTGATTGGGCAACAGACAAAAAAAAAAAAAAAAAAAAAAAAACCGGGTGGAGGAGGATGTCGTCAGCGAATCGGTGACGACAGGCTGGAGAACGACGAGTTCGGGGATGGCCTGGACAGAGACTGGCGGAACGAGGAGGAAGAAGAAGAAAAGGGCGAGGAGGAGGAGGATGACGATGAAGAAGGAGAGGGTGAGGAGGAGGAGGACGAGGAGGAGGAGGACGAAGATGTGGAGGAGGAGGAGGCCACGACGATGGAGGAGGAGAGGAGGAGGGAGAAAACTTAGAGGAGGAAGAAGAAGAGGAGGAGGAGGAGGACTGGGAAGGGGATGAGGAAAAAGAGGAGAAAGAAGAGGAGGGTCCGACGATGGAGGAGGAGGAGGTGGAGGGGGAGGAGGTGATGGAGAAGATGAGCCCACGGCGACGACGAAGGAGTAGGAGGAGGAGGAGGCCCCGGTGGTGGAGGAGGAGGTGGGGGAGGATGACGACGAAGAAGAAGAGGGCGAGGAGGAGGAGGACGAAGAAGAGGTGGAGGAGGAGGAGGCCACGACGATGGAGGAGGAGGGAGAAGAGGTGGAGGAGGAGGAGGCTACGGCGATGGAGGAGGAGGGAGAGAACATAGAGGAGGAAGAAGAAGAGGAGCCCATGGCGACGACGAAGGAGTAGTAGGAGGAGGAGGCCCCGGTGATGGAGGAGGAGGAGGAAACGAAGGAGCAGGAGGAGGAAACGGAGGAGCAGGAGGAGGAGGTGGAGGAGGAAGAAGAAGAGGGCGAGGAGGAGGACGAAGAAGAGGTGGAGGAGGAGGAGGCCACGACGATGGAGGAGGGAGAAGAGGTGGAGGAGGAGGCCATGGCGATGGAGGAGGAGGGAGAGAACTTAGAGGAGGAAGAAGAAGAAGAGGAGGAGGAGGAGGAGGAGGAGGACTGGGAAGGGGACGACGGAGAAGCGGAGGAGGAAGAAGAGGAGGGCCCGACGATGGAGGAGGAGGAGGAGGAGGAGGTGGAGGCGGAGGAGCCCACGGCGACGGAGAAGAGGGCGAGGAGGAGGAGGAGGAGGCCCCGGCGATGGAGGAGGAGGAGGGCCCAAGGATGGAAGAGGAGGAGGTGGTGGAGGTGGAGGCCACGGCGACGGAGGAGGAGGCCCCGCATGAAGAACATGGGGAGGAGAATGAGGGCCCACATTTTTTTCTTTTCTTTTCTTTTTTTTGGTCCTATCACTCAATCACTCAATCAATCAATTAATCAATCAATCGCTCGATCGAGGATCCTGTCGAATCGATTGATTCGATAGGATCTTGACCTATCAAGATCATATCAAATCAATCGATTCGACGGGATCTTCGATTGATCGATCGATTGATTGATTGATTGGTTGATTGGTTGATTGATTGATTGATTGAATTTGATTGGATGGCCACCGTGGAAGGATGACACACATAAATGGAGACTACAGTCCTCGTCGCTGTTGTTTCAATCAATCAATCAATCAATCGATCAATCGATCGATCGAAGATCCTATCGAATCAATCGACTCAACGGATCCCCGATCGATCGATTGATTGATTGATTGACCAGTCCAAAGACCGGAAAAAAAAAAAAAAAAAAAAAAGGTGGAGGAGGAGGCCGTTACCGAATCGGCGACGATGGGGTGGAGAACGACGAGTTGGGAGGCAGAGACTGACAGGACGAGGATGAAGAAGAAGAAGCAGGGGAGGAGGAGGCCGTGGCGATGGAGAAGGACGAGTACGATGACGAGGATGAGGACGACGATGAAGGAGGAGGTGGAGGAGGAAGGTGGTCGAGGAGGAAGAAGAGGTGGAGCAGGAGGCCACGGCAATGGAGGTGGAGGGAGAGTACTTAAAAGGAGGAAGAAGAACAGGAGGACGAGGAGGAGGAGGACGAGTAGGAGGACGAGTAAGAAGAGGAGGAAGAAGAGGAGGACGAGGAAGAAGAGGAGGAGGGGCCGACGATGGAGGAGGTGGAGGAGGCGGAAGCTATGACGATGGAGGAGGAGGAAGATGAAGAGGAGGCCACGTTCTCCATCGCCGCGGCCTACTCCACATCAGGCTCCTTCGGCTTTTTTTCTTTTTTTTGGCCTAAGCCGATTGATATTTGGCCTAAGCCGATCAATCAATCAATCAATCAATCAATCGATCAGTCAATCAATCAATCAATCAATCAATCAGTCAATCAATCAATCAATCAATCGATCAATCAATCAATCAGTCAATCGAAGATCCCAATCGGTCAGATAAGATCTTCGATTGATTGATTGATTGGTTGATTGATTGGAACCCCCCAACCACCCAACCACCCAATGACCCAACCCCACCCCCCCACACACCACAAAGCCTGTTTTTAAAGTTTTTTTTTCTGTTTTTGCTCAGAATAGCCCCAATTTTTTTTGGGGGGGTCCCCCAGCACTGCGCAGACCCCCCCCCTTTTTTTTT